ACTTGCCCTAACTGTTCAGGGTTCGACCTCTGCGGTCGTATCAGGCTGCGCTCGGCGAAGCATTTTATTAAAAGATAAAATGATGGTTCGGATTTTACATTTGATGTCGCTGTCTATTTGTGATGTATACGGGATAACATCCTGGTTTATGATAATACAATTAACGAAATTCGACAAAACAGACAGCAACCAAGGACAAACACCGAATTACATGTTCCATGCTTGGGATAGGCACATATATAATGTGGCAGGGTTTAATATGATTGTGAGCGCTCAACCCTCCTTCTTTACTTGAACAGTGGAGTATTCGCATGGTTTTAGTTTTAGGATATGATTTGGCTAAAATTAAAGGATGCAATTAAAGAAGTGATAAAATATGATGACTTTATTAAATGCATTCATGATTGTACATTATATGGATAGATAAAATTTATATATCTATAGATCGAGATTGAAGTAGAACACACTACCTTAATCATAATCATGCTGAGTAATAATCTTATAAACGATATCCAAGGCCTTTCCAAGTGGTTTCTTTTCAAATGTGAACATGATATTCTCTTAAGATTTGACTGAAAAGACACTCGTCCGAATTTAGCCATTTCTGATTAAATGGACTGGATCTGCAACGTACCAAAATTAGAAACAAACACTATACACTGCTTATCACTTGCATAGTTTTTGTTCGTATCTGTCATAAAGTGTGTATATCAAAAGATTTAAACTATACAATAAAATTTTACATATGTTACATATAAAAAGAATAACTAACCCTTCCGTTCACTTTTGGTACTTCGTAAACCAAAAGAAACCTATCATATTTTATGCGTTTGAACTTTTATATTAATTTTCATCAGGAAAACTCGTAGTCAATATTTCGAATAGTCCAAGATGTTTTAAGAATTAAGGAGAAAAGGCTTAAAGATGTATACTAGAAATAACCAAGCCCACCAGTAGCGCTGCAATTTATTGAGTGTCATTATCATTATTATACAATAAACCCTCAAACAAGTGCTTGAGGTATTTGGAATCTCATTAATCATCACCATCTTCTTCATTATTGTAAAGTCTCTTTTTTTTATGAGTGATTAGTTAAAACTTAAAACAATTCATTATGAGAATAATGGAAGTTTCAACAGAAAAAGGCTGTGGTTGTGTGCGTAGGCTTATAGTCTAGTTACTTGTACACTACAAAGGAAAACTGACACATTACAGTTGCTCTCCGTGTTTTTTTTTTTTTTTGTTTTTTTTTTTATGTATTCGTATTTCGGTTGATGGTTGTAACTTTGAATGTGCACTGGTATCTGTTGTTGCGATTTTTGTTTCCTTTTGAACCTAGTATCAAAATAAGATGGTTGTCTCATTAATTTAAATAATCAGATAGCATTATCAAAATCAAATTGTTTTAAAATGCTATTAAGAACAATCGAGATACCAGGGGAAGGAAACGATGCCTATTCTTTAAGGTTTCCAATTCCTCATTGACTCTTATATTTCCTGTTTTGTATATTGGAGATTGAATTTTTATAAAAACCTTGTTATATGTATTATAGAATCTTTGACTATAATACATCGATGTTATACTATCATATTTAGGAGTTTGATTTTGGATAGAGGAAGGGTGTTAACAGTCAGACATAATTTTTAAATTGTATTGTAAGTATACGTTAATCAATATTCAATATCAAAAGTGTCAGTTTGTGTGACAAGGCAATATTTACTATACTATATATAAAAATATTAATTTTCGCGAACCATTTAGGTCACGGAAATTCCATTTTTTGCCATCAGTAAGGAGAGTTGTACAAATAATGTGAATACACAGAACCCCGATCCAATTCATCTTTTGCTAAAAGTATTTATCATTTTCTGTTTTGTATCTCCTAACATCATTCCATTTTTCTCTAATTTCGATTAAAATATGCCAAAACCTGCAGTAAAAATAGATGTATGCCCCAAATAAACATTCCCCGATTGGTTGAACTACTATGGCGTCTATGTAAAGCAACGCAAGCCTCGATATAAAGCATACGCTTCCCAAGAGTAAGGGAGAGTTGTACAAATAATGTGAAAACAAAGACCCCCGATCCGATTTATCTTTTGCTAAAAGTGTTCATCATTTTCTGTTTTGTATCTACCAACAACATTCCATTTTACTATAATCTATATTTAAACATGTCAAAACCTGCAGTAAAAATAGATGTATGCCCCAAGTAAACATTTCCCGATTGGTTGAAAAGCTGTGGCCTCGATGTAAAGCAACGCAAGCACACGCAAAAATTTCCGTTGATATGTTGAACTTCGAGCCCGGGATTCAGCCGATTCACAAGAAGATTTTCTTGCGCTCATATGTAATTCTAAGTGAAGTATACTGGTAAAGTAAAATTATATTCTTTTACAGAAATATTTACACATTTTATCATTAATGTATTGTCATGCTTCTGCATATTTACGCTGAGCTTAAGTTAAATATAATTCTATACAAATTTAGTTATGTCAAGCATTAATTGTAAGAATATTTCGCGCCAAAAGAAGAAAATAACCTGTATCACCAAATAAGTTTATCAGCATCTTTCTGAAATTTTCCAATAGAAAATAGCGTTTAGTATAGAGAAATATTGGTAAGTATTACTTAGGCAAGTGTTGTTACCTTGTTACAAGATTTTTGGCTTTTTAACAAGTAAAGGCATGTTCGTTTTACTTTGTCGTATTATTTTTCGGCGATCCGATTTTTAATTTGCGGGAAATCATATACTGCTTAATGATGTTGTACGAAAAATTCCGAAATAACCGAACCAGGTAAGTTTTATCGCTATCAGAATCATGCTTAAGGGGTTCATGGATTTTAAGCTCAGTACATATATTTATTTTTGATATTGTTCACAATGAAGAGTTGTATATTAAAACCTACCCATATTTTGAATACTTGTTCCTATGCTCATGGTTGATTTTCCCCTATTAGTCCTTGTTAAATTTGCACTTTTCAAAAACATGTGCAGAATTTATCTTGGTTTCAAATAAAGAATAACCCAGACCTGATGCAATTTTACAAAATCTTTAATTTTTTATATAAAAAAAAACACTTAAGAATTTATTGATTTAAATTAAATATAGATACAATGTGTTACATGCTTCTCTGTTGTCATATATCACAAGGAAGGAATTTTTGCATTTTGCTTTTCATTTCCTCTATTGAAATACGATATTAATTGTTTTAGTTTACAAAATATTATCTAAATAACTCAAAATAAATGATGATAAAATACATTTCCCAATATTTATGTCGTATATTTCGGTTTTGGAGAGAATGTATATTTATTTCCCTTTGCAATATTCGGTCACATTTAAATGTGACAACTAAAATGATAATACTAAAAATAAAAGAAAAAGAGAAGAAATGTGCAATGTTAAGACTAAAATTGAAGCAATTGTGTTTGGTTAACAAATTTTACATGATACCCGTTGATGACAATATTACATCATGAACCGTCCTTAAATACGACGGTATACTTACATGTATTCTTGGTCTCCGTATGCCTTTAAAACAGTAATATATACGGAATTACAACGATTTTGATCATATAAATTAAAACTAGAATTCGAATACGTGTTTGCTCATAAAAGAATATGATTTTTGCCGGATATTTATTTGGGAAAGCATAAATCACTTTTAACAAAAATCATGTCATTTTGAGATTAAAAAATATCAAATTGAACCACAATTTCTGTCCAGTCTGTCTTAAAAAAACCCGTAAAATAGTGGTCCGCTCAATTTAAGAACTTATAATTTCAAAACACTCTAATGGGACCAGGCATACGGCCTGTAAATTATTCCAAATTTATCAAGCCATTATATATTCCGAAATATGCTGCCTATTTCTGTCCAATAAATGAAAGTAGCCAGAATTATAAAGTTTATTTCGGAACGAATAAGGGATCGCTTCAGGCTTCTATAACAGTTCGTGCAACTTTAACTCCATCAAGTGTTTATTGTATAGGCATCACACATTTCAAACTAAGTGATTGCCGCTCATAACTGTTTAGAACTCGGTGCAGACAAATACGGCATTTTAATGGAAAATGTGTCAATTGTTTGTTACACAAGTCAAATGATATTTATGTTTATTAAACAATTTTTTCAATTGATCTGTAAATATTTATCATCTTGGAGTTTGGTATGGTTGTTCAGTATATGTCAATGAGACCAAAACACCCACACAACGACATCTTAAAGTCAACATACAGTCTTTTACAGTAGACGAGTGTCTATGCTATATAGCAAGCTTTAAATTGTCAGAGCAACAGCGATAATACCAAAGACAACCAATGAAAATATTCCTACCTTGCGATATGATCATTAAAGTATACATGTGAGCTCAAAATGTGTATCCTATTTCCGTCAGTTACTGAAGGCAATGGTTAATTACCCAATCTGCTAATGAAGAAAGAATGCCCCATTGTACTCTAAAATTGGTTACTGAAATTACGAATAGACTTTATGCAGCAGCAACGTGAGCGATTCAGAAAAGAACGATCATGTACCATGCCATACATTATTTACAAACTTTAAACTAAGTAATTCACCTCTAAATAGCCTTTTTATAGAAATTCATGATAAATAACAGAAATTGGTTTCGGCGTTATATTCATTATATCGTTATCGAATTTACGGCTCTATAGAAAAAAAAAACTTTAGCCTTAATGCTTCTAGATTTTATATTGCTCTTACTTATTAGTTTATCTTTTTCTATAAACATATATCATTATGATCACACATGCTGTGTATTCCATACTGACTAAAACAAAGAGCCTAGCTAGCTATTACTCTTCTTATGTTTACTTGCATATCATGCTGACAAACTCAATTTAAATTATAGGAAAGGATTCGGGTCTTGAAAATTTAATATTAGTACAATGCATAGTTTAGCTTTTAGCGTCAAATCTACCGATGTACTATATGAGATGTATATCTATATGTTATATTGATAAATTAACAACAGGTTGCACATGACAGTAAACAGATAAGCCACTGGAACGTGTACATCAACTGAACTATTCTTGAAAGGTAAGAATACACTGGCTCAGAGAATATTTCTGTATTACTTTTTCCCCAATGATTTGACGACTACAGTTAAATATTCTATCGATCAAATTATTAGACATGTAATGTTTTTGAGTATCGATTTGTTCAATACACAAGTTTATATATTCTGACTGTAATTTAAACAGTATCTTTTTGAATTTGAAATACTTTTTGAAATTAAGGGTAAAAAATGAAAGTGTATACTTTTAACTGAAAATATTATTTAATTTGATATGAAAAGTACAAGTTGTACACAATATTAAACAATACGAACTTCAGGGTGTGCTGGTAAGATGTCATTGTTCATTAGTTGACTGACCCGACCTGAATTTTCACGGATTAATGAATGTTATGTTTCATTTCACTCTGTGTTGTCAAACTTATTACTAGTACTCAAAACAAGCAGACAACGCCATGGCAAAAAACGACAAATAGACAAACAACAGTATAGAAAAATAAAGACTGGGCAACAAGAACCCCCACCAACAACCGGTATGATCTCAGGTGCTCCGGAAGGATAAGCAGATCCTTCTCCACTTTTAGCAAATTGACAAATACTAGATTTACTGATCACTATATGTCTACATCTGATTAGTTGTGTCTACGTAGTAAAATCTTTATAAATGATAATCCTCTCAATCTATATTCCATCCCAAGTTTGCACCATTATATATTACGAAGCACGAAGAACTTACATGTACCTATTCTAGCGGCTAATCATTATCACTCATTAATTGGGAAATGCACCCCCTCCCTTTTCAACTTTTTTTTACCCCACTAGCGGTTTGTGTTTCTGACCTAATTGATGTCAGTTTCTTGTTATTGATTATTCCTTTTCCCGTATTACATTCATTTTCCTATCGTCTTAAATTTATTTTCGTCTGATCGAGGTATTTGCAGCGTGTTATTCAATAAGTATACTTGCTCAGTGTTAAAAGCCGTACGTGTTGATTGTTAATTTGTTTGTTTACGCCATAACTTCTTTATTCATATGTGAGAAATTGAAAAACCACGATTTAGTATTATTGTAACATCTGGTTGTTGTTAAATGTGTTGCATCTACACATAACGAGTATTATACAATATGTGTTTGAATAAATAATTACATACGTGAACGTTCATTTTATTGTCTGATATATAAATTCTCGTTTTTGTACGTCAAGTGGCAAGTATTTCATGTATAATCAGGGCGAAATTTTTGTTTGAGACACAGCAAAACATCGGACTCTAAAAAAGGCTATTTGTAATTGCAATGTTTTCCATCTGAAGTACACAGTTGATCGTTTCTTTTAAACTTACAATCGCTTTATTCGATATAATGTACTCCATGTCAACGTGTAATTGACAGTAGATGTAATCCAATGAAAATGGCGTTACATAGTTTATTGCATTAGAATATTGCTTTCGTTGTCGAATGTCGTATGTTGACCTTTCGATATAAACATGAAGATATCTGGAATAAATTTCAATAAGACAGCAATCCAACAACATAAAACACAAAAGACTGCAAGTGGTCAGCACAAGGTCTTCAAAAATAGACAAGTGTCTAAAATTTCAAGCTTGAAATCACCCAGAGTCTGTAAAAAGTGTGAATAACGAAGACTTTCAAATACCGCCCATCAATACCAAACTCCCTTAGGGACAAACACAATTAGATATTATTGTTTTCTTTCTATAATAATATATTTCCACATTTAAATGCTCATTTAATTAATGTTAATATTGATATAAATGTACTAGGATGTTAAAAGACAAAGAAACAACCAAAGGCTGCTATGCTTGGATAGTTTTATTCGGTAAGTTCTAAATACCGTTTAAGTTATCAGCACATTTTGGTTGAATATACACATGCAGATAAAATGAAAGTTATTTCATACAGAGGGGAAAAAATATTATTTCGTGAAATCACGATATCTTACAACCTTTAAATTGCTGCCTAACTTGGTTTGTAAAAAGTTGTTTCTGGATAAAATCGATACATTCCAATTAGGTAGTGCTGATTTCCCAAAATAGTCTATAATATATAAAAATAAAACATAACTAAAAATATATTGTTGTACATTTATGAGTACTTATGATGGTACATCCTGTCAATTATGTTTACAAGACCAAGCGCGCTTCTCAGACTGTTTATGACGTCCTTAACTAAATCCATTCGATGTGTAATGATTGATACTTTCGTCTGGTTTATTAATTAATTGTAATTGGCTTGGAACTAGCCCTCAGTTGCTGCGAGTTAGTTTTTCTCGTTTAAATTGTTTCACATTTTGTCATATCGGGGCCTTCTATAGATGCATATACGGTACATGTTTCCCTCATTATTGAATACCGTATGGTGATTGCTTGAACTTTGATTGATATATACATTGTAGTTGTCTCATTTTCAATCACATCACATATCATTATATGTATATATTATGGTGTTTATATATCTCAACTTGTTCGATTCGCTCGTGTATGTAACAACGTATTTGATTTTAACTAAAGAAATCTCTGTATTACTGAAACATTATTACACCAGGGTTTTCGATATCACAAACTAGTCAAAACATGTACTAAATTTTATCATCGGTACAAGGACATCATTCGTAAATATAATTCAACATGCAGACATCTTATACGTTCAGGTATTTCACATCCAATCTTTTATGGTATAAATATTCTTTACAAAGCGCAAAAATGTCGGCATTCACCACAAAAGCTAACCAAACCTTTAAACAGACTTATTCAGAAGGGATATAGTTACGATATTGTTGTCAGGTCATTAAAAATGGCATATTTTGGTATTAATATTGATTCACTCATAGGGTCTTTGCATCGGAAATAAACACATTTATTCTAAAACCAGTTGTTGGCATGATACGGGTTATGTTCTTCTCATATATTTTATGATGGTATGATACTTAACCCCTAACGGGAGGGATTGTGCTTGATTTTCATATGATGAAGACATAATCTTTCAATCAGTTTAATTGGGGTCTGGAGCTGGCATGTCAGTAACTGCTAGTAGTCCTTTGCTAATTTATGTATCATTGTCATTTTGCTCAGTTTCTTTTGATACCTATTCTGACATCGGATTCGGACTTCTTTTAATCTGAGTTTTACTGTGCGTATTGCTGTGTGTTTGTTTTTTCTACATTGCCTAGAGGTTTAGGAGAGGGTTGAGATCTCACTAAACATGTTTAACCCCGCCGCATTTTTGCGCCTGTCCCAAGTCAGGAGCCTCTGGCCTTTGTTAGTCTTGTATGATTTTTAATTTTAGTTCGTTTATATGTTTTGGAGTTTAGTATGACGTCCATTTTCACTGAACTAGTACACATTTTTGTTTAGGGGCCAGCTGAAGCCCGCCTCCGTGTGCTGGGTTTTCTCGCTGTGTTGAAGACCCATTGGTGGCCTTCGGCTGTTTTCTGCTCTTTGGTCGGGTTGAAGTCTCTTTGACACATTCCCCATTTCCATTCTCAATTTTACTTAATAATTTTTATACGCCCGTCAAATTTTTGACGGGACGTATTATGGTATACAAATGTCCGGCGTCCGTCCGTCTGTCTGTCCGTCTGTCGCACCGTAACTTGAGAATGACTTATCCAAATTTCATGAAACTTAACATAGTTGTTTCTTATGATGGTCAAACGATCTGTATACTTTTTGGTGAAAATAAGATTAAAACTTTTTGAGTTACGGGACTTAGTAACTAAAACAGGTGTGTGTGTTTTTTTTTTCACATGTCGCGCCGTATCTCAAAAACAGTTTATGATTATTGCTTAAAACTTTACACACTTCTTAGTTATATTAATCTTAAGATCTGTATACTTTTTGGTGATGATTCAAAATTTTATTTTAGAGATATTAAGTATTTTGTTAAAAAAGGGGGAGGGGTTTTTCACATGTCGCGCCGTATCTCAAAAACAGTTTATGATTATTGCTTAAAACTTTACACACTTCCTAGTTAAATTAACCTTAAGATCTGTATACTTTTTGGTGATGATTCAAAATTTTATTGTTGAGTTATTGAGTATTTTGTAAAAAAAAGGGGGAGGTGTTTTTCATATGTCGCGCCGTATCTCAAAAACGATTTATGATTATTGCTTAAAATTTTACACACTTCTTAGTTATATTAATCTAAAGATCTGTATACTTTTTGGTTTTGATTCAAAATTTTATTTTTGAGATATTGATTTTTTTTTTTTTAAAGGGGGTTTTCACATGTCGCACCGTATCTCAAAAACGATTTATGATTATTGCTTAAAATTTTACACACTTCTTAGTTATATTAATCTTAAGATCTGTATACTTTTTGGTTTTGATTCAAAATTTTATTTTAGAGATATTGAGTTTTTTGTAAAAAACAAGAGGCTCTCAAGAGCCTGAATCGCTCACCTGTATTTCAGAGGAGAAGATTTTTAAATGTTAGCAAACTTGATGAACAAATTGTGTAAAATTGTCTTTAAAGGGCAATAACTCCTTAAGGGGTCAATTGACAATTATGGTCATGTTAACTTTTTTGTAGATCTTACTTTGCTGAATATTATTGCTGCTTACAGTTTATATATATCTATAATAATATTCAAAATAATAACAAAAAATCGCAAAATTTTGTTAAAACTACCAATTCCGTGGCAGCAACCCAACAATGGAGTGTTCGATTCGTCTGAAAATTTCAGAGCTGATAGATCTTGACCAATTTAATAATTTTACCCCATGTCAGATTTGCTCTAAAAGCTTTAGTTTTTGAGATATAAGCCAAAAACTGCATTTGACCCCTATGTTCTATTTTTAGCCATGGCGGCCATGTTTGTCGATGGATCAAAACTTCGGATACAATTTATGAACTAGATACCCTAAGGAACATTTAGTTAAAGTTTGAAGGTGTTTGGCCCAGTAGTTTCAGAGGAGAAGATTTTTGAAATAGCTTACGACGACAGACGACGACAACAGACGACGACGGACGACGACGACGACAGACGCCAAGTGATGGCATAAGCTCACATGGGGCCCTTTGGGCCTCGGTGAGCTAAAAAAGGGGGTTTTCGCATGTCACGCCGTATGTCAGAAACTATTTATGCTTATTGCATAACAATTCACACACAAGACGACGGGCGTATCATGCGCTCATGGCGCAGCTGTTTATTTAAAATTTTACACATTTAATTAAATCAAAATTTTATTCAAGGCTACATTTTGCTCTTGGCGACAATTTTGAATCTTATTGCAAGTTTTTTCTATGTTTTTTTCTAAAAGGAAATCGTAAATCAAAATTAACTTTCATCTGAAAGAAAATATCTCGAATTATTCTTAGTAAATTTGTTTGGTAAAGAATGTCCTAATACTGATCAATACTACATTTTTGCGATAAAAAATCTATCGAATTTGTAATTTTACTCCATCTTTATGCATATTTATCATTTGTTCAGAGACTAACCATTATAGTATTAAAACCTAAAAGTATACAGAACACAAGAAGCTATGATACTGTAAATGTTAATTAAGATCGAAAGCTTTTTTGAAAATATCCATAGTGTGAAGTAAATTCAGGGGCACTTCGTATTTGAGTTTATTTTTCTATGACATAAAAACATTTACTAGCATGCATATGCATTCTTTTAAATATCAAATTTTGAAAACACAAAATTGATGCACCATTTAAGCTTAAAAATATAATTCATTAGTGTAGCTCTTTACTCTTTACTCGTTACAGAAACTTCCATGTTTTCTAAATAGATAGATAAATTTAAATCCCAAAGGAATAGAATACCTAATTGCATGATTTTTTTCATCCATTTACAGCCTGTACAGTTTTACAGTTTCTGACAGACAGCATTCTTAAATCTTTTGGACTCTTTTATGTTGAAATTATAGACGAATTTCATGAAAGTGTCTCATTTACCAGTCTAATAACAGGAATAATGTTTGGCGTTTACTGTCTATCAAGTAAGTCCAGTGTCCATAACCAAGTGCCTCAGAACTAGACTTTAACTTTTAACATCTATAAAATTGTTCAAGATAAATAAAATTGTATATAAAAAACACATTCAGCTTTAAAACTAAATTTGGCTGTACCTGTAGAAAACTTATTAAAAACGGTATTTCACATCCTAAATTTTACGGTAATATTGTACTAAAAGCGCGGAAATCACTAAGTGATCCGTGTAAACTCATCGAACCTTTAAACAAACTTATTAGTAAAGGTTATCTTACTAATGTTGTAATTAGATCTTTGAATATAGTTTACATTGGCACTAATATCGATTTTGTCATCAGCAAATTAAAACATAACTAAATTTGTATTCTTTTCAAACGGGATGTATAAAGACACACCCACGTTCATTTTTATCTATTAAGGGGTTAACTCATAACTATCCTACTGCCTGTCGATTCATTTATTTTTAGCATTGCACAAGTCATGTCTTCTTTGACTGTCCATGACGTTAAAGTACTAAATCCCTGGGATGTTTTTTAGTTGATTTTAGTCTCTGATGCATGATTTTTTATTATTAACTGTTTTGGGCTTTTAACTAGCTGTCAGTAACTGCGAGTACTCTCAAATCGTACTTTCTTGTTAATTTGATCTGGTGATACTATTTGTAATGCTTTTTTGTTATTTAATGTTTACTTATTCAGGGTTATATCTGGTCTATATACCAACTTTGATAAGTGTTTGGTATTACTATAAATTTTCACTTCTTCGAACTATGAACATCAAAATTATTTATTTTGTAAAAATATTTCCTTTCTCCTTTTAAACTTTATACCTAACAACAAAACTATTTTCATTTACCTGTGTATAATATTATTGTAAATGGTGGATTTTTGTTTAAGGTTATTGTTGTTTTTCTGAAATTGTTTAACATTTCACAGCGGTATAATACTGTTACTTTAATTATTCATCCCTTATTTTATTGATTTTGTATTTACATTGTATCATAGATCAAATTTATTCGGTCAGTGTATGTTCACTTGTGTTAATATGTCTTTTGATTGAGTTAAGCCATTTCAATTGATATTTTATAGTGTGTCTTTTTATTTTGTGATGTTACATTATTGTTTCAGATAAGGGTGAAGGTTTGGTACCATTAAACGTTTAAACCCGTTGCAATTGTTTGCACCTGTCCTAAGTCAGGAATCTGATGTTCAGTAGTTGTCGTTTGTTGATGTGGTTCATAAGTGTTTCTTGTTTCTCGTTTTTTATATAGATTATACCGTTGGTTTTCCCGTTTGAATGGTTTTACACTAGTAAGTTTTGGGGCCCTTTATAGCTTGCTGTGCGGTATGAGCCAAGGCTCCGTGTTGAAGACCGTACTTTGACCTATAATGGTTTACTTTTATAAATTGTGACTTGGATGGAGAGTTGTCTAATTGGCACTCATACCACATCTTCTTATATCTATATATTTAATACATTTGATAAAAAAAAGATCATTAGAAGTTCTAATATTTATTCAGCTCTGGATGGGTATTTTTTAAAGTCACCTTTAAGAATTGCTCGACGTTTTGAAATTTGTGTGTGTTAAAGATTAGCAGATGTGTTCTATTTATCGTAGTCGCAATCATTCTTTCCTCGTGTATGACTTATCACTGAATAGATATGAGTTATAATCGAATTTTACATAGCACTAATATCACTATAAGTCGTTTTTTTACTTATTTGTTATTGTTTGTCCTGTTGGTGTCTTCTCAATTTCATTAAAACAGCTAATGCATTGCTCTTCATATGATAATACTAGCTACCATAGTGAAAAATTGCTTTACATTATAGTTCTATAGACCGTTTTTCGTTTGTTTCAAAAATTTTTTATGATGGCTATATATAGCTTGACACTGCTTAATACGACTTTGGTGTTTATACATCTGTTTCTGCTAAGATCGATCACATCCATTGACGAAATCAATCAACTCCGTACAGGCAATATTCCCCTTCAATAACATTTTCAATTTTCACGCTTTTAGTTATACTTATAATGATCTTAGAATTCTAATAGATAGAAAGAAACTTTAATTACAAAAATGATCAACAAGACAAGATTTACTAATGAGTCAACATTGCTAAAATCGTCAGTCAACTCCTTGAAGGAGTTGTTGTCCTTAAATGACGGTTTGTATCCAGTTTTGCCTATAATTTCAAAAACATTTATATATAGAATCTGTACGCAGCAAAATATGATCAACTAGACAAGATCTACAAATGAGTCCAACATGGCTTAAATCGGCAGTCAATCTATACGAGTTTTTGTCCTCAAATGACGATTTTTACTCATTTTTTATATGTGTGAATATAAACAGATATAAACAAGAAAAGATCTACAAATAACTTTAATGGTCAAATTGATTGTCGACTGCAATTGGAGAAATTGTCTTTGAATGACCACGTTCACCAATTTTCTGTGTACTTGGCCTCAATCACAAAAACTTCAACAGAGACAGTAAAATTTAAAGCAGAGAATTCCGAATAACCTATTTGTAAAAACTATCTTTTGCATTTATTCATTTGTGTATATCGTCCTGAATATGCATTTAATATTTGAAAGTGGACGTTGTGTAAACCACAATCAAAACATACATGTAATCGTCAAACAGTAAGTTGTTATACAACTGACATACATGTATCTCGTACAATATAGCCTAGATAAAGCGTAATAGGATTTAGGATATCCTGGGGAAGAGAGGCGACATATACCAAAGGGAAATTCAATGATATGTAGACTTCGACAGAAATGCGACTTATTTTTTTATATGTGTCTAACATTCAGCGAAAATACACCCATTTGTCGCACAAGAAAGGTTACCGAATATCATATGGAATAGGTGATTTGGTTTAATCTAGATACGTTAAGAATTAAGAAGGACAGACGAACGGACAGACCTGTTTACCTCATCTAATTGTTTTGAGGAATAAGACGTTGGGTACGAGATGACCAAGTACTATTATGCAAGAAAACTTTGTAAACTACGGTATTTAATGTACATGAATGATTATTCGATTGTCCCGAGTAAACGGATGTTTTCTGCTGTTCGAAAATGTTTGAGTCTTAGCGACGTTTATCCCATACTTCCTTTTATACATATTATACCAATTTACTATTTCAGCATTACCAGTAATGATGTATCTTATAAAAGCTATCCAGCCAAGAGGTGTTATGATCATTGGGAGTGTGTTGATAGCAGCCGGATATAGTCTCAGTTGCCTTGCACCGAACATTTATTTCCTTCTCTTTTCAATAAGCATATTAGTTGGTGGGTATTTCAAAGCAGTGTAAACTTTCTCGTTTGATATAAGTTGATTGACCGCGTGATTATTTCTTTTTCAGTATCGGTGATAAAGTGGGGTTTATATAAAACCAGTTTTAGTAACCGTTAGTTGACGTGTTTCCCGAATCTCGTTTTACAATGAACATCTAGTTCATGAGGAGAATGTCTAAATATATTAATTGGAAATTAAATCATTATTGGATATATAATAGTTTCATAAGTAAGTAATATGTGGTTTTTAACTATAAACGACTTACTCAAACCTATATAATGCTATAGGGGAGACGTGTTTTAAATCAAGTTTCCCTTTTGCATTCGACACAAAGGGGAGGTGCAATGCCGCTTCACATAAAACTTATTATCCGATCATATACAGGATTCTGGTTGACCTTGGAAGTGTTCAATTGTATCTAAAACGTTAATTCCAAGTATAAAGTAAAACATACAAAAAAAGATATAAAACAAGTACAAAAGAGGGACGAAAGATGCCAGAGGGACAGTCAAACTCACAGATCGAAAACAAACTGACAACGCCATGGCCAAAAATAAAAATACAAACAGAAAAATAAAAGTACAGATGACACAACAAAGAAAACTAAAGACTAAGCAACACGAACCCAACCAAAAACTGGGGGTGATCTCAGGTGCTCCGGAAGGGTAAGCAGATCCTGCACCACATGTACAACATTAAAATTTTTGGGTTATAATTCAATATGGCTTCATCATCGCATGAGTACTGGTACATTGTATTAATGTCATTAATCATGAACATAAAAATGCCGATAAGAACACCGCCATCTTTGTGGTTCCGTTTCATTACAGCGTTCACGCCTCCAGAATTTATGCGGTTGTTGAATTGATCCCACGGTCGGGCTAACCATTGACGTTAAAAATGATATTTGGATAATTTGCTGCTTCTCCGCTAAGCACACGGCTTCCGGAGTCAAAACTAAGACTGACTGGCTGTGAGTCGCAATAATATGTCTGGATAGTGTTTTAATCTAATATCTAAATTTTCAGGTGTTGGCATGGCATGTATATTTCCACCATCAATTTATGCTTTGGGTACATATTTTACAAAGCGAAGAGCGACAGCAAATGGCATAGCAATATCAGGTTGCAGTTTAGGAGCACTAGTTAGTCCGCCTTTATACCAGTATCTAATAAAAACATACGGCCTTAGAGGAGCGCTGTTATTAACAGGAGCAATTCTTCTCAATAATTTACCAATGGCATTTCTTCTAAGGACTCCAAACAAAGTTGAGCAATCAAAGAAAGCCCATAGATCGCCTTTAATCAACAAAAAAGAATCAGTGCAGGAGATGAAACCGACTAAAACATTAAATGGAGATATTCATACAAATAATTTTAATTTTTTAAATGGATATATTAGTATGACAGAAAAAATACATAAATCTAATCATAATGGAATCGGTCTATTTAGTTCTCATCCCCAACTTTCGAATAATTTTGAATTAGAACGAGAAGTGATAGTACCGAAAATGAATGAAAATAAAAGTAATTCTGACGAACATCTTAATGTTAAAACATTTTATCGGGAGTTTCCATTAAGTTCGTTCAAATGTTTCAGCAGCAGTGCATTAATAGTATATCCAATATCAGTTGAAAGTGAAGACAGAATTAACGAAAATGAGAGCGCTGTAAAACAAAATGATTCCCTCATTAAACCAGTGTGCATCTTATTAAAAAAACCAACGTTCGTGATATTCTTATTAGCAAACTCTTTAGCAACTATTGTGGCGTCAACGTTCTTGTCATTTTTACCTTTACATGCCAAGCAAAACAATATAGAAGATGCTAAAATGGTCATCCTTGTCTCACTGACTGGAGCAGTAGATTTAATTGGTCGCATCTTATGTGGTATTTTAGCTGACAGGTCACACGTACAAAGTTATCAAATCCTTGTTGTCTCACAACTAATATGTGGTCTTACTTATAATTGTAATCAGTTTATGACTTCATTTTCGGGACTCGTCATATTTTGTGTGTTGATTGGTTTATTTAGTGGAATGTTTTTACCCCTACGACATTCAATAATGGTGGACATCAGCGGATTAGCATTGTATCCAACTGCTTTGGCGATCACAACGGTATCTCAGTTACCAATTTATGTCGCTGGACCTCTAGCATTTGGTAAGATTTTTCCTTAGTTTTTTTCCGGATCTCTTGGTTGGAAAGCATTATCTTTAACATACTCCTCTGTAACAAAATAGCGAAAAAGTAAGGTAAAACATTTCATAACGTTAAAATAAACCACTTTTAAATAATAAGCCCAAATACCTCTTGATTGAATATTTCTGATTACCCCAATTGCCGTAGGAGAGTTTTTGGAATACAATTGTTAAATCTCTTAGTACATTTCCTTCCATGGCTGAACAAAATTAAACGGGACTTGGCTCTAATGACCCTTTTCTCGGCTATGAAAAAAACCACAAATACATCGGAACACACAATACGTCAACCGCATTAATATATTTTTAAAATCCAAATCTGAATTTTTTATAACATTACTTTCAATTTGACAGACCAATCAATGGTCGTCGAAAGGAGTAACAATTGCACTAAGCTCGGCTTGTTGGTTTTTATTTGTTCGTGTTGCTGTCTAATTGACGTTTAACCTATATCTCCTTTTATCCGTATTAGTTAAACAGATTAATAAACTTTCAGTTAGATGAACAAAATTGATTCCTGTCCTTAGAATTATACACAATTAAAGGAAGATGAAAAAACAAATCTGCCCGATATTGAAATTGGAATTAAAAATAGTTTCTCAAATCTTTTTTTTTTCAATCTAAGAAATGAGCGTTAAATATCCCTTAAGACTCAGTACATATAAAGAAATGTTAAGCAATTTTCCATGCATTACCTTTGGTCTGACATTGAAGTACTTTTGTCAATATGTAAGACTCGGAGGTGCGATGGGGACGCTGAAGTGCAATGGTCACGCTGAAGTGCGATGGTCTTCGTCGTTTTTGAATGTCATGGTCCTTCGTTGATATTTGAGGGGTCTTTATGACACATGAAAGCTAGTTTAAGATATGAAAAAATCTGTAAAAAAAGTCACCATTCTGCAATAAGCCTGTTTAACGTACAAATTATAATCATGTTATTATCGTATACTGTTTGATAGTTTAGTTTCAACATATTTATTTATAGTGGATTGGGAAACAAATTATTGCAACTTATATTAATCCCTTTCCACTTTGCGGGTGCGAGTGCTGCCTTGATGCGGCATTAGCCTGCTCTTTTTCGAAATCTACTGGGTGTCTTTTACGTGCAAGAGATATGGCTCTCTCTTAACACGGGTCAGCCATTTATCGTCCCCTTCCGACGGACTATCATCGTTTCTCAAGACCATACTCGCAAATGGTGTCAAGAGAGAGCCGAAAATTCAGTCCCTGAAATTTTCTCCCCGGAACGGGGATCGAACCAGGAACCTTTGTGTTAGTAGTCCGATGCGCTAACCACTACACCACGGCTCTCCTTTGATAATCATTTGTAAGTACTCTGCCAATATTACAGCTTCCTCTTTACCTTTATGGTACATCTCTTCTGTATTTTTAAAGTTATGGTGTATTTATTCTTGAGATAACTTCTCTTATTTGTGCCACATCATTCTCTCAATTTTAGGCCAGTTTGTATACTAAAAGACGCATGCCACCTATTCTTGGTCCTCATTCCTATCCACATTAAATTGTTCACTTCAGAACATTATATGGAAGCGGGATCAATATACCTGTATGTATACATCAGACCGTACTGCACTGGTTACCGGAATTTTGGATACACCAAACCAGGCACTTTATATCTGAGAAACAGGCTATATATGCCCTCAATTTTAGAATTCATTCATACATTTTTGTATTATTCAAAATTATCAGTAAATTATGTGTTCTACAAGGATAACCAGTCCTTCACCTTTCATATAATACTTTAATTCCTAAAATATATGCTACATAGTTTAAGATTTACCCTTATGCGTAGGAACTATTTTGTTTTAAATATTCACTACTTTCCAGTATGTTTTTTTTTTGGGCCCGATTATGTGGTGTTACATCTTACAAAGTCTATCCAAATTTTTTTTGCAAAAAATTCCACTCAAGCCGGTGCTAGGGGCCGTCTTAAACTTGCAGTGAGGTGAGAGTCTTTTTTTGCTCCATGTTGAATGCCTCACTGTGACTTTGAGATGAAGAACAGCAATAAAAGCGCTGTTCCTTTGCTTTTGTGGGTTTTTTTGCTGTGCATGTACTGATTTTGTGTCATGGATGGATACCCATATTCTTTGTTTTTCTATTAGTTACAGTTGCATACTTAATCAAAGATCGTCCTAATTAATTTTTCTGCATACTTAAATATCTGAAAAGCTGCTTCTAACAAACAAATTGACTTTTACATCGACATGTTAGCATGAAAAACATTGACAATAACATTGATGTAAACCATCGCACTTCAGCGTTACCACCAACGCACTTCGGCGTAGCTATCAATAAGATAGCGTCACAATGCCTGCATTGAACTTCGGCGTGATAAAAAACGCACTACAGCGTGACCATCGCCGTTCAGAGTCCTACAAATATACTGGTACTTTTTGTCTTATTTTGCCCTGTCATGTATATTTCAAATTATGTAAATGGTGGTCATGTTTTATTTGCTACCCACTATAAGCACACGTTTGATAAACAAATTCGCAACATATGGATTGGCAACTAAACTTTAAAAGGTTTAAAATTTATATTACTATCATTTCTTACTATAAATTATTAGTTAAAAATTTAATAAAGAAAATACAGCATTTCAATCTGAAATTCGGACAATTTACAAAATTCTATTGTAAATCAAATAGTAAACAGTAGTTTCAGGTTCCTTTTTCTTTTCTTTCGAAAAAATCAATATCTTTTTTTTTATTTTTATTTTTTAAACGGACTTCAATGAATCATATTATTACTTTGTAGGCGTACTTCGTGATCTCAATGGCAATTTCATAGCATCTTATCACTTAATAGGTGTGGTAGCCTTGCTCTCCGGGGTGTTATTTTTATGCGGACCATTATTTAAAAGATGTAAAAAGAATGTACCATGTACGTCAAATGAGGAGGCACTTAAAACGCAAACAACGTAGCCGTGTCACTAATAACTACAATAGTGTCGCCTAAGATGTCTACACAGAAAAGCCATGAAGAAACTACATGTCTATAAACATTCTCAGTATAGATATATAGATAGAAAGATGTTAAATGAATTCATAACACTTTGAAACCAAAGACCAAAACACAGATGAATGAATGGTTCTTCGGTTGAATTGATTGCGTATAGATACACTGTTACAAGTTATGACTGTTGTTGCATACATTTTACAATTAATTGTTTGTCGTTAGATTGGAAGAGCTTTGCATGTATTTATATATATTCATTAAATGCCAACTAATGTTTCTTTAAAATACATTAAAGCTGCATAATACCAATATTGTGTTTTTATAGAAATGTCAGCTTGCTGGCTGCGACTATGAGTAACATCGATTAACAGATTCTCTAGAATTTAAGGTATCAGCAAGTTTGACTTTAGATTTTCCTTTGATTATTGAAAATGCTTTCTGCTGTAAAGTTTATTAAAATGTTGTACATTCTTATGAAGATTTTGTTAAAAACAACTAATCATTTGAAATGTGGAATATTTCTATAGGTTGTTTCTCATCCATATTGTTAGAAAAAAACTCATCGAAGATAATTACAAAACCAATTGTTCAGAGAACAATTGAAGGTCTTTCCACATTAAATTTCTAAATAATTTATAAAAAGCTACTTCAGGTTTACCCAAAGTTACTAATGGCGTCCAATCAGAGATTTCATCATACAAATTAAAAAATATATGGTTCCTGCTACTTCCGGTTCAGAAAATGTCACTTCCGGTCTCATGTGATAGTTTATTTACACTGATTCCAACAATTTATGGTTTTTTTTATGTACTTCCACTTGGAATAAGGGAGATAATCATCCACTTCCGGTTTACAGAAGGTCACATCCGGTGCCATAAAATAGCTTCAAGGGTGCAATCAACAGTTTTTTTCTATGACGTCATATTTTGAGGGACCATGCATAAGTGATCCTTTGTGGTGGTATTGTTAATAAAGATACTTGTATAAAACTAGATATCACTGGAATCAGAATTTTTCTCTAATTTATATTGAAAAAAAAAATAAAGTGTAATTTTAACATAATAAAAAGGTTCTATCCAGAGAAAATGAAAAAAAAATGCCCAATCTGAACATGAAAAACCTGAAATCAGGTCATGTGCATACCCATGTAGGCATGATACAGGCACATTTCAGATAATCAAAACTGTATGAATTTCATAGATTTTTACCTGGTCTTTTAAAAGATTCTCGCTTCAGGGTATGTTCGCCTGCTTCGGAAAGAGATACAGTAGCTACAGATAAGTTTTTAATTTTCACTACCAAAAAAACAGGAAATTTACAGTGTTGTCTCCCCTTAAAACATGTATAATTAATATAATTTTTTAAATTATTTTAATCATTCAACCTGTTTTTATTGAAAGCTAATTAACTAATTTTTACAATCAAATACTAAAAACATTATACTTTTTCACTAAATATGTAAACAAAAAGGGATTTCCCTCCACGGCCATTTTTAGTCGGGGAATAACCCCTAGTTTTTATACGAAACTGTTTATAGCACCCTACTTTCCACCGATTCCGATAATATATGGTTTCTGTATACTTTTCTTTCAAATAAGAGAGATAATTAGTTACTTCCTGTTTACAAAAGGTGACGTCAGATGCCATTTAAAGGTTATTGTATGCTGATTCTAAAAATATATATTATCTCATATTTTTCCCTTTACTTAGTGCAAAAATAGCTACTTCCGGTTGATATTTTTCATTCCCTGACAAGATGGCGGAATGAAGCAAACAAGGCACAGAGCACTCCCAATATTTTTAAGTTTTAGCACCAACAATCACGTTTTATTTAGGTATTTTACTACCATTTTTACCAAGATTAGTGTTTTACAGACTTTTTATTCTTAAACAAACATTTTAAAGATGAACTTGAGTCAGTTTTTATTCCGCCGTGCATGAGTGATTTTTACAGCACATGTATATAGCAGCACATAGACATTGGACTTTTTAAATTATTCGATTTTAGCGTATTTTATTAACATTAAATACCGAAAGAACCTCCTACATAGACGTAATATAGAAAACCTGATTTTAGTGTTTTAGAAACTTTTTAAAGTGTTATCATTTAGTTTGAACTTTTACCGGAAGTGATCTATTCAAGATGGCGACCTCCATAGTTCAATCAAAGCCAAGTAGAAAAGTAACCCCGAGAGAGCTTTATACTCCTAGCAAATCTGAAATTCAAATGAAATATAAACTAAATGAGAAAAATGCTTTGGTAAAAAAGATCGAAGCCGCTAAAAGAGAACACAATGTGGATATTCAACTGAAAAGAGGTACGTTAGTTATGACTTTCACACCAGGGGCATATGAGCTATACAAGCAGGCCATCTATAAATTCTATGATAATAGCAATACAAAAACATATAGTAAAACTTTTAAGACTAGCAAAACTAATAACAGATTAGTAGAAAAGGCTATTGTTGAAGAGTCCCTCTCCATCAAAGAGAAAGGAAATGCTAATAGTGACAAGCGTCAACATTTTAGAATTAATATGTTCAACACAACAAGTAAAATGGACGTTAACGGCAGGTTATATCAAAACTTTATATGTTATGACCTTCCAGAAATTTTGGAAACTGTGAATCAAAAGGAGGTGAAATTGGTGAATGAAAAAATATTAGAAATCTGTCTGACAGTTCTAGCAAATCAGCCTAAATCAACAACCCAAACCTCTAACATGGTAAAATATAATTCAAATAAAAATCAGAGTGATGAAATACACAAGTGTACAAACAGCCCAGAGACTATAGATAAACATTCAAACATAAACATGTCTCCAAGGAACATCTTGAAGTCAATTGAAAATCCACCAAAAACTATTGTTTATCCTAATGAATCTAGAAATAGAAAGGACAGTGAAGATCATAATATTTGTCCAATTTGTGAACTTGAAGTAACTGATAGCGATTCAATAGAATGTAACGCCTGCGACATGTGGCTACACAAATACTGTACTGTCTTATCTGATGAGCTTTTTGATTCACATACTAATGATATTGATATGCTATACACATGCCATCTCTGTACCCTACTTGATCAAGATGACTGTGCAACTGCAATTCAAGATGAATATCATAGAAGTTTGGTATATTTTGATCTTGAAACAGACAGAAAAGGTGTCATGACACCATCTATAACACAGCCGATAAGAAATGATATACTTGAAGACCCCACTGAAAATATAAGCGAGGCTGATAGAAACAGATACACCACAAGGACAACTTCAACTATAGAAGTCAATAATATACAAGGAAGCTGCTTTCCTCCGTCTTCACAAGAAAGGATTAACGAACAGTCTGAGAATAGGACAAAATATCCGAGCAAAACGGGGAAAATTACTACAGGCTCGAAAAATCTAGCTACATGTAGCCAAGAAATATCACATAGTGAAGAAACACTGGAAAAAACAATATTCACTAGAGACAAAAAAGAATCAGGTGCCTCAGAGGTAAATCAAAGCTATGACCAAAACTTATCAAAAGCAAAAACAAAGACAAATAAGAAGATTGTTTATACTGAAACAGATGAGCAGTTATCAGCCCATAAAGCCCGCATCATTATGCTGGAGGAGCAAAACCGAGATTATGAAAATACGATCACACTTCTCCAGAGAAAACTCAATAGTAACAACATTGCCAGTGAGAGTACAGTGTATGAACAGAGCGAACAAACAAATACTCTGAATAACAGACTAAGTCAATTTGAAGCTACAATCAAATCCCAACTAGACATACTGAAGATAGAAATGCAGCATAAATTCACTATCCACGAACTAAATATGAAACATCACCTAGAAGTAAGTGAACTGAAGGCAAAGATGGATCGTATGACAGAACAGGGAACCAGCACAGTATCATCTGTACCACAACTACAATCAAATGCATCGGAAACACCTGATTATCATCAGCCGTTAACAACAGCACCACCTGTTTATCATCAGCCGTTAACAACAGCACCACCTGTTTATCATCAGCCGTTAACAACAACACCACCTGTTTTACATCGGCCAATAACAACAGCACTGCCCGTCTTTCATCAGCCCTTTACAACGGCACCACCAACACTATACCATCCAACTACAACACAATTTGCTCATATAGTACATCCTCATAATGTGGCACACTCGATAAATATTAAAGCAGGAAATTATCAGACAACTGCTCTTATGAATAGCCATCAGCATGCAAAGGCTTCATACCAAAAGCAGGAAACTCGTAACCAATATTTATACAGCCAACAAAATAGCCGTCAGTATGCTAACCAGGCCGTAATTTTCCAAAATCCGATATTGTCTAGCCAGCAACCCCACAATACCAACCAATCTTTTCAACCAAGGCAACATATACCGAGTGATCAGAAACTCATACAGAATCATAAGAGATAAAATTGTAAAAAGCCTATAGTACGACAAGATATAGCTGGCCAGTCGCCAATACCTGAAAAATGCCAAAACGTAGACAATTTAGCTGCATGTAATACTACTGTACTAAAAACAGGGATAATGAGCCGAATAAAGACAATGTTCCTACAGAAAATAGTGCTAATGTAACAAACTTGGATTGTGGTAGGCAAAATCTAGTCAAAAAACCAATATTGAGTACTGAGGATAGAGAACAGCATCATTTTTTAGAGCACGGCCGGGCCTCGACACAGAAGGCCATACACGCCAATTTACAATAGGAACTCTTAATGTGCAGAATGCTCTATCAAATCAACTCTACCTTGTAAATGTGTTAAAAAAATGTGACATACTATTTGTACAAGAACATTGGCTATATTCATGTGATAAACATAAACTACAAGGAGTAAATGATACACATATATTTGAAGCAAAATCCGTAGATGATGATTTAGATACAGAGATATTTGTAAGAAATAGAGGTTTTGGTGGCACTGCTGTCTTTTGGAGAAAAGATATTGATAGAGTTGTGAGATTTACATCTAATGGTAATGACCGTATAGTTGTTTTAACTTTTAACATTTCAAATAACCCATTATGTCTAATTGGTGTTTACATGCCGTCTCATAATAAACATGGAGATGAACTTTATATTGACATTCTCTCGCAAATAGAAGAGATAATAGAAAAGTACCATCATATTGGGTACCAAGTTATGTTATGTGGAGACATGAATGCTTCCCTCTTTAAGGATGATAGACCAAGAGATAAACGCTTTAAATGCTTTATTGAAAACAATGACTTGTGTTTAACAGATAATTATCCAAAGGCACCAACATTTTATCATCATAATGGAGTGATGTCT